GGGGTGCGGTAGTGTCACCCCCGCCCTGAGCTGCCTCCCTCCGTACGCTGCTGGCTCCCCAAGGAAAGGCAGCGCTGCGTTTTCCTGTGGCCAGCAGTGGCCCAGGAGCAATGTGCCCAGGGAAGGGTGCCCAGGGCTGGTGCCGGCACACGGCAGGCGCTGCGGGAAGTGCAGGACACAGTGCAGGACACAGTGCCGTGGGGCTCTGCTCCATCCCCAGCTCTCCAGTGCACCCCGACAGGGAGGGAATGGAGGAAACCACCCCCTGCGCCGTCTCGGTTGCGGCCAGGGCAATGCCATCGATGCCTGCCCGGCACGAGGACCGAGGCGGTGGGTCCAGGGCAGGCTGGGCGTGTGAACCATGAGCAAGGCTGTTGATGATGGGATGATGGCAGAGCTGTCCCTGCTGCGTGGGCACCTCCTCCCGCTTCGGGGGCGAGCCCCGAGCCTTGCCAGGGCACGGCAGGGGCACCGGCGCAATCCCAGCCCTGGCAGAGCCCACGTCCATCCCTGGGGAACGTCTGACGGGTGCTGGCATCCTCAGAGGAAACATTCAGCAAGAGGGATCTGGGCTTTGGCTCTCACGCGGCCAGTCCGTCGCTGTTGCCTAATTAACGTGCTCCTGCGGAGACGCTGCTCTGGCCAGCGCTCGGTGGCTGCGGTGCGGCTCTTGGACCAGCCCAAGGATGTGGCTGCAGCTTTGTTGGGATCCCCTGGCTGTGGGAATCGTTTCCTGGGTGCTCTTGGGCTGCACCGTGCCAAGGTGTGGGAGCAGGCGGGAGACCTGGCTCTGAGAAGCAAAGCAAACCACATTAAATAGGCTAAGAGCAAGATGCCGAGGGAATCCGTGCTCCCGTTGCAAGCCTTGAAAGCTTGGTGCTACCTGCAGGCAGGAAGAAAACCCCCAGCAGGGCCATGTCCTGGGGTTTCTCTCTGCTTCCTTGGAAGCATTTGGTGCTGACTGTGGTTAGAGCTGAGTTTTGGACTAGCAAAGCCCTACGCTGACCTGGGCTGGCTGCTCGGGCTCACAGCTCCCAGTTTGCTGGAAGAGCACAGTGAGAGCTCCCAGGGCTGGAAGCAGACGAGTAAGCTCTGAAGATGCCCATGTGCCTGGTGGACTGGGACAGGGCTGCCCGGGGAGCCAGGGCCACGATGCGCCTGGACAGCAGAAATGGGAAATACAGGCGCCGAGGGTCCGCACCGAGCCGAGGGTCCGCACCGTGCCAAGGGTCCGCACCGTGCCCAGGATCTGCACCGTACCAGCCCTGTGGGGTGAGGTGCATGGTGCCTGGCTGGCCCATGGGCTGTGGCCGGGCTTGGAGATGCCGGTGCCGCCTGCTCCTCCGGCAGCTCCTGCGTGGGAGCTGGAGTGTTTTCTCTCTGGACAGAGAGGGGTTTTCCTGGCCTCTGATGCCTTTTTACCAGGTTACTCTGGTTTCCGTGATGGAGGAGCAAAGCGGGAGCGCTTCTTCCATCTGGTGTGGCAGGAGGCTTTGGTGGGGAGGAGAAGGGGAGAGTCCCCGAAAAGCCAGGCATAGCCAGAATAAACTGCCAGAGCTGGGGGAAGACTCACGGCTCGGGGCTGGACCTGGAGGGGGCGGTGAGTGAGGATGGGGGCAGCTGCTCCTGGGCACCCCCGGAAAAGCGCGGGGTCTGAGGACGGTCGCCCCTTCCCCTCCTGCAAAGGACGTTCCTCGGCCCTCGGAGGGTGGCTGGGCGAAGGGAGCCCTGCGCCTGCGGTGCCGGCCGGCTGCGGTGCTGGGCAGCATCGCCCAGGGCACCCCGAGGGGAACCCCTGCTCCATGGGGAGCGGGTGTTGGCAGCTCTGGGCATCGGGGTGTTGCTCTAACACCCAAATTGTGAGGCTTTCCACTTCTTCCCGAGTGCTGTGGTAATGGCTCCAGTGCTCGGGGGGTTGTTCTTTAGAAAAACCCCAAGTTCCTGGTGGGTTTCTCAGCAGCTCTCACGATGACGGGCTATTCCCTGGCGTGCGCTGCTGCTGAATGCCCATTTTCTTCCCTTTTCCCTCTGTGTTTTGGCTCCCCCCCCTGCGCTGGGCTCCTCCTCCTCCCACCACCTTTAGCAAGGCTCAGTTTGGTTTTTCGGTCCAGTTCACGGAAGAACGCGAGGACTGGACTGAGTGGGGACTTGAGTATAGGGAGGGAGTGAAGTGGGTGCTTAAAGACTTCAGCTGCCTGGTTTAGGGCTCCAGGAGATGTTGGGGAGCCCTGGCTGGAGCAGGTCCTGTGTGTCGGTCGCCCCTGGGGATGGGTGCTGGGCTGGGGAGCTGACAGGGGCGAGCATGGCCCCGCTGCCACGGGACGCAGCGTGGCTTTGGCATTTGCCCGGGATAGAGACGAGCAAGGGGGGAATGAAAATGCACGCGTTCCTGAGCTGGCCTCCAAGTCATCCTCATTCAGCTCCGGGTCTCGGGGGCTTGTGCTGCTCCTCCTGGGGCTGGACCCTCTCGTTTTTAGATATTTGGCTGAATGCTGGTTCCGTGCCCTCTCAGCACCAGCTGCGGCGTGGAGGTCCGGGCCGATGGGAAGCGTTTTTGGGTGGCTCGGTGATTACAAGAAGGAGCGTGCGTGCATGCCAATCCCACCGCTGACACCAGGAGCTGCCAGGGCCACCAAGAAGGTGCTCGGTGGGATCCCCCCTCCGCGCGGTGCCGGGGCTGTTGCACAGCCTTGCCTGCCCTGAGTGCTGCCACTGCAGCTCTTCGTTAGCGGCCAAGGGTAAACGACGAGCGCAGGCTGAGCTTTGCAGGGCCCTAATCCCTTTCCCTTGTGTCTCTTTCATCTCCAGTCGGACCAGGAGAGTTGTAATAGACCTTCTTACTAAATTAAATGTAGAGGCTGCTCCTCCAAGGCACGTTTCAGTTCAACCGTAGTGTTTGATTTCCCAGCCGCAGCAATATGGTGCCTCCAGGGAAAAAGCCAGCTGGGGAAACTTCCAATTCTAATAAAAAGTGTAAGCGCTATTTCAATGAGCACTGGAAGGAAGAATTTACCTGGCTGGAATTTGACTATGAGAGGAAACTCATGTTTTGCATAGAGTGTCGGCAGGCGTTGGTGAAGAACAAGCACGGTAAAGCGGAGAACGCCTTTACCGTGGGCACGGACAACTTCCAGCGCCATGCCCTGCTGCGGCACGTCCCCTCCGGCGCGCACCGCCAGGCGCTGGCGGTGAACCGGGAGCAGCTGGCGTTCGAGACCCGCGTCCACGGCCACCCGGAGCTGCGCTCGGTCATCAAGGTGGAGGTGAACCCGGCGAAGGTGGCCGTCCTCGCCACCGTCTACTGGATGGCGAAGGAGGAGGTGCCGGATGAGAAGTGCTCCTCCCTGCTCGACTTCCAGAAGTTCAACCTGTGCCAGGCGCTGCTGGCCTCCGAGCACAGCGAGTACTACCACCCCGGCAGCATCAGGGGGATGCAGGTGTGTATGCCGGGCTGGGGGCTCTGCCCCCGCGTTCGACGGCCGCTTCAGGGCCGGGCGGTGCCGCGCTGCTGCTTGCTTTGCAAAGCCGCCCGCCGCGTTCCGCAGAGCGGGTTGGGTGCCCGCGCCGACCGGCTGTGGTGGGGAGCAGCTTCCCAGCGCCCCGTCGAGTGTCCCCAGCACCCCGTCGAGCGTCCCCAGCACCCGCTTGGCTTTTTTTCGGGTGTGCATGTGCCGTCCTGTGGGCCCCAGTGAAAACACAGGGAGGCAAACGTGTGCTTTGGCTCACCAGGGCCAGAGTCGTCTTTGCGGCGAGGATCGATGGATCCTCCTGGCGGCGTAAGCCCGGGAGGGCTGGAGCTGGGTGCTGCGGCGGCAGGCAGGAGCTGGTGTCCCCGACTCGCAGGCAAGAGCAGGGGCTGCTCAGAAGCAGCAACAGCCGCTGTGTCAGCATTTGCTGATGGGCAGACCTCCATCCCCATCCTTGGACAGCTAAACGGTGGGAGCAGGGCTCGTCCACAATGTCCTTGTGACCACCAGCCCGGGCCACGCCATCAGGCTGCTCTGGGGCTTGCTCCGGTCCCACGGCAGAGCCGGCAGAGCCAGGTGATGCTCCTGTTCTCCAGGATTTTCAGCAGAGGCTGAAAGTTCCTCCCCATTAAACATCAGCGTGGCAGTTTGGTGGTGTCATTCCTTGATTTGACAAACCAGGAGGAGACGATGGGCTCCATCGAGGGAGCCTCAGGCTCACGGTCACGCGGGAGCTTCCAGACACGCAGGGAGCCCCCTGGCATCCTCTCCCCATCTGAGCCTGCCCCGCTGCTTGAAGGATGAAAGCTCAGGGGTTCAATTAGCACATGAGCACTGTGGGTTTTTTCCTCTTTTGCCCTAAACTGGGTGATGGGAAAGATCAAGTAGCCAGAGAGTTTAGAAAGGATTTTCTTAATTTTACAAATGCTCCGTGCCTGTTAAAATCAAATTAATTTTTTAGTGACTCCTGGCCGTTGGCCAGGCTTTTTAGATCTCTAAAGAGCCGCCTTTTGCTGCAGATAGACTAAATCCACTAATTAGATTCCTCAGCCCGAAGTGCTGCTCATGGCACTTGTGCACACCGGGGTGTTTGCCTGAAAACGGGGAAAAACGCAGGAAAGAAGAAAGAGATGCCGGGAAGTTTTGCTGCTGCTCCCTCCCGTGCTGGGCTTGTAAAGCACAGAAGCGATTGCTGGAGTGAGAACCGAGGCAGCAGGTTCTCCATGTCTTGCCTTGCTCTCGGCACAGGCAGGGGCTCGGGAGCCCGGGGGACGGCAGCTCCGTGTTCACTCCTGCCAAAGCCGCGGGGCTCCAACCCCTGACTCCGGGCAGGGACCCCAGGGCTCTCTGCAGCTTTGCTTGGTGTTTGGGCTGCAGGCCAGGAGCAGGAGGAGAGGGTGCATTAGAAAAGACGGCAGTGATTTCCAGCTTGCAGATGTATTTTGATGCACAGCTTGCTTACGGGCTTCTCTCCGAGTCGGGACCGTGCGCCGCTTTCGGGGAGATGTGAGGGCGGGAGCCTTGTCGCTTGCTTCGCGCCGGGTGCTGCGCATCTTCCCGCCTGCTTTTGAAGTTTATTTGTGTTTCTCTTTCCAGGCAGCGATCGCCAAAGTCCTGCACAACGAGGACAGGCGCAGGATAAAAGCCTCGCCCTTCGTTGGGCTGGTGGTGGATGAGACGGTGGATGTCCTGGAGCACCGCAACCTCGCCATGTTCACCACCACCATCTCCCCCTGCAACGGGCAGACCTCCGCCACCTTCCTGGGGAGCTTCGAGCTGCCCGCTGGGGAGGCCTCCACGGTGGCGGGCAAGGTGGCCGAGGTGATGCGCTCCTTCGGCATCCCCACCATGAAGATCACCTGGCTCAGCGCCGACAGCGCCTCGCTGGTGGCCGAGCGGCTGAGCGGGGTGGGGACCACGCTGACCTCCCTCTGCCCGCTTCTCACGGAGATGCACTGCCTGTCCCACAGGAGCTCCCTGCTGCCGGCCGAGAGCATCGTCAGCATTGAATACCTCCAGAAATACGAGACCACCGTGGATGCTGTGTACAGGCTCTACTCCAGCTTCAGGGGGGAAAGCAACGGCCTGCAGGAGCTGCGGAGCGTCCTGGACCTCTGCGAGATAGACCTCGGGAGCCCCAAAGCCATCCACTGGACTTCTATTTTCCCAGCCGTGGAAGCCATCGATTCGTCATGGCCCACGCTGGTGCTGCTGCTGGAGAGCGAAGCGGAGCGGTCACCCGTGGCCCACGGCCTCTGCGAAGAGCTCAAGAAGTTCCAGTTTGTGGCCTTCACCAAGATCCTCCTGGATGTCCTCCCCATCTTCCAGAAGCTCAGCCGCTTCTTCCAGATTGAGGACTTCGACCTCTCCATCCTGAAGCCCATTGTCTCTGCCACAGCCACCACCCTGCAGGCCCAGAAGAATGCCAGCGGCCAGAACCTCCAGGAGTTCCTCAACGAGATGAATGAGCACCCGCGGGATGACCGGGAGGGCGAGAGCCGCCTTTACTACAAGGGCGTTGAATTGGCCAACTGCTCCAAGGTGCACCTGAAGCACTTTGAGCGCCTGAAGGAGAGCTACCTAGAGAGCGTGCGGGGCAACCTGCTGGACAGGTTCCCCAGCAGTGTCCTGGAAGCCATCAGCTCCTTCTCGGCCATCTTCAACCCCAAGTGCTACCCCCAGTCTTTGGAGGACATTGGCAGCTATGGGGTCAGCGAGCTGAATTTCCTCCTGCAGGCTTACTCCCGGGTGGTGGTGAGCGAGAGGGCCATGAGCGATTTCCCCCTCTTCAAGCGGATCGTCTTCAGCCTCAGCCAGCTCTCCTTCAAGGACCTCTGTGTCAAGCTGGTCTACAGCAACTCTGAGATGCATGAGCTCTTCCCGGACTTTGCCGTCCTCGCAGCCATCGCCCTGGCCTTGCCACTGGGCTCGGTCCTTGCTGAGAAGATCAGCCGGGGCCGGGAGCTGCTGAAGCGTGGCCGGTCACGCCGCGCAAAGGACGAGGGGCTCTCTGACCTCATGAAGATCGCCATTGACGGGCCAGCCATCAACGAGTTTGACTTTGCGTTGGCCATCGAGTACTACGAGAGCATGAGGGAGTCCGGCTTCATCGTGGCGCAGGTGAAGTGAGCGGCGGCTGGTGGAGGCCAAGCCCTGCAGGCAGGGAGTCGGGTCCTGCAGGCAGCCCCTAGCGCCGGCTCGACGCCGCCTTTTGCCGTCGCTGGTCACTGCCGGGGCCGGGTGGCCGCCAGTGAATGGTGACCTGCTCCGTGCTGGGAAGAGGAACCGGGATCCTTCACAAAGCTGTGCTAGTTCCATGACCACCCCTCCCTCATCCCCCAAACATCCATCTCCATTGGCCAGAATTGAAAATCTTGGGGCCACCTGAAATCCCAAATTGTGATGAGGTTGGTTTTTTCCGAGGGTTTGTTATTATTTTGTTTTAGGGAGATGAAGGCAAATCTTCTCTCGAGCACCAATGTCACCTTGCCTTTGCACAACGATACCCAGCAGCTTTTACTTAATACTCTGCAAAAATATCAGATTTTTGTTGGTTTGGAGCCTTGAGAATGAATGCAGAAAAGGCAGCGCATCCTTCTCGCTCCGTGGCGAACCCTGAAATGCCTGGCGGTGTCTTGTTGGTATTTCTTGCGCACAGCACAGAATTATTTTTAGCAGTGGCATCAAGTCATGATCGTTTCCAGAGCAAGAGATTTCGAGAACGGTGTTGTAATCGCTGAGGAAATCGTAACTTTAAAATGCATCATTGTGTACATACGTATGTGTATATATATAAAAATAGATATATAAATATATATATATATTAAAAAGGTCTATCTTAATTTTCCTAGCGTTTAAAGTATAAAGATATCTAAAAGGACTTTTTTTGCAGTGACAGAATAAATTATAAGCAGGGGTCCAAAAAGAATAAATAGCGAGTCCCTGGTCTTTTCCAAACGGCATCGCATACCTGCGTTCCCTTTGCACGCTGAGCTCCCTGCAACCTCGCAACCAGAGAGTCTTTTAAAATCTGCTTTGGGGACAAACCCGAGTTGTTTAGCTTCTGGTTTTCCTTTTAAACGTTCCCTTTACCCCGAAGCGAGCAAAGCTGTCGGGAGCCGGCTCTGCCGCCGGGGTGTGGGGTGTGCGAGCGCGGTGGCCGGGCTGGGCGGTTGGTGCTGCATGGCGTGGCCAGGCATTACGGGGCTTCTCTGGTTTTAACTCGGGGTGTGGGGGGGTGTTCCCTTCAGTTCTGTTGGGGTGGGGTGAGAGGACCCTTCCGACTGATTTTGATCGGCAATAAAGCCAACGCAGCAGCCTGAAGCATCACATCGCTTTGATACCCAGCACCGGCTCCTCCCGCGCGATCCAGCTCTTGCTCCTTGCCTGGGTAAGTTGATGCCGTCCTGCAGACGCAGGGTCCGTGTCCAGCAGGATTTGACCCCCATGTCCATAACGCTGACGGTCCCTGTTGGTCCCATGCCGTTGCCTCCAGGTGGGACTTGTGCTGTAGCAATATGGAAGGACATTAGACATTAGGAAAAATTTCTTCACAGAAAGGGTTGTCAGGCTCTGGAATGGGCTGCCCAGGGAGGTGGTCGAGTCCCCATCCCTGGGGAGATTTAAAAGAAGGATAGATGAGGTGCTTAGGGCCAGGGTTTAGCGGGGGGATGGCAGGGGTAGGGGAAAGGTTGGACTTGATGATCTTAAAGGGCTTTTCCAACCTAGACAATTCTATGGGTCTATGTTTCTATGACTACGGGGGCCTTGGTCTCGCTGCTTCCCGTCCTCCGGAGCAAGCAGCCGCTGCCTGTGGTGGATGGACGGACTTTCCTCCGCCCCAGCCCTGGCTTGTGGAGTCCCCCCGCACGACGGCGAA